GGTTGGCCCGGCACCTCCGGAGGCGGTGGCCGTGGTGGCGGCCCGCGCAGCTTGGCGTCTACCAGCGGCTCCAGTGCTGTGACCTGCCAGTACCAGCTTCAGACCGGGCCTCTCCGCGGCACTCTGTGCCGCCGCCCGCACCCGACCGCCCGCTGTTTCCGCCGCCTCGACGATCTTTTTCGTCGTCGCTTTGGCCCGGCCCCGGACCTCCCTGACTGGCACAGCCTGCTCCGCCAGGGCGTGCCGATCTTTGAGTTAGACATGGATCAGATAGGTGCTGCTTTGCATGCTTTGTATGCTGACGCTTCTAGTGTTGCTGGATCTTACTACCCTGTGAACTCTAGTTTAGGTGTTTCACCCTTGTGTAGCTTAGCTTCCCCTGCTGCGACAGGCGTAGGACTGCCTAGGTTGCCTAGTCTAGTCGCTGCACCGGCTCCGTCCCCGGCCTCCGCCACTGCGTCGCTGTCCTTCACTCTCGACTCTGCTGCTTCTGCCTGCTTCTTCCGCGACCATTCCACGCTCACGCCGCTTGCTGCACCTGTTGTTGTCTCTCTCGCTGACCCCTCTGCGGGTCCGGTCGTCGCGCGCAGTTCTACGTCCCTTCCCTGTCCGGCAGTTCCCTCGGGCTCCCTTACTGGCCTCCACGTTCCCTCGTTCTCCAGGAACCTGGTTGGTGTCGGCTGTCTCCAGGACCTCGGCGTCACCACCACGTTCCCCGGGCACGAGCGGTCCGCTGTCTGTTCTGAGGCTGTCTCAGGTTCCCCCCTTGCGACGTTCCCCCGGGACCCGGTGTCCGGTCTGTTTACCCTACACACCGCTTCCCCCCCGGTTGGTGCGTCCTCCCAGGTCGCTGCAGCTTGCTCGTGTCGGTCCCTCACTCACCCCTCCCTTCTCTGGCACCACCGCTTAGGTCACCCTGCTCTCCCGCGTCTGCGTCACATGTCCCAGCACGGTCTTGTCTTAGGTCTCCCCGCGTCGCTCCCTGCCCTTCCTCCCTCGACTGCGCCACCGTGCACGCCTTGCGTCGAGGGTCGGGTCCGCCATGCTCCTCACTCCTCCTCGCTGCGTCCTGCTACTGGCCCCCTTCAGACCCTGCACTTGGACGTTTGGGGCCCTGCCCCCGTCCCCGGACCGCGCGGTGAGCGCTACTTCCTTGTGCTCGTCGACGACTACACGCGCTACACCACGGTGTTTCCCCTGGAGCGGAAGGCCGACGTGCCCGACGTTCTTCTCCCGTGGGTTGTGGCTGCGCGTCTCCACCGCGGTCTCCCCGTGTTGTGTCTCCACTCCGACCGTGGCGGCGAGTTCGCCTCTGGTCGGCTTGGACAGTTCTGTCGTGCGGAGGGCATCACCCAGTCGTACACGTTGCCGGACTCGCCACAGCAGAATGGGGTTGCTGAGCGCCGCATCGGCTTGGTCATGGAGGTCGCCCGTACCTCCATGATCCATGCCGATGCCCCCCATTTTCTGTGGCCGTTCGCTGTTCGCTACGCGGCTCACCAGCTTAACCTGTGGCCACGCTCCCAGCGGCCGCAGGTTTCGCCGACCCTCCTTTGGACCGGGTCCCCCGGTGACGCGTCTGCGTTCCACGTCTGGGGCTGCCTTGCTCACGTTCGTGCCTCTGGCACGGACAAGCTCACTGCCCGCACTGTCCCCTGTGTCTTCCTCGGTTTCCCCCTGGACTCGTCTGACTGGCTTTTCTACCACCCGCCGTCTCACCGCTTCCTCCACTCTCGTGACGTCACCTTTGACGAGTCCGTCTCCTTCTACCGCCGCTTCCCTCACCGAGGTCTCCCAGTTGCCCCCCCCTTTTCCTTGCTCCCTCTCCCCCGGTAGCCCCTGCCCCTCTCCCGCCTCGTCCTGCCCCGTCTGGTGTCTCCCACGTCACTCCCCTCCCGTCGGTTGTCCCCGTTGAGGAGTCTGCTGACTCTGGTGGTACCCCCGGTCCGTCCTTGCCGCGTCCCCCTTCCCCGGTGCCTCCGCCCCCACTGTCGCAGTCGCCGACCCCGCTGCCGCCGCCGTCGCCGTCGCCGCCGCAGCCGTCGCCGCTGTCGTCGCCGCCGCCGCCGCTGTCGCTGCCGCAGCCGTCGCCGCTGTCGCCGCCGCCGCAGCCGTTGCCGCCACTGCCGCCGCTGCCGCCGCTGCTCTCGGCCCCTGGGGGTGCTGGTGTGGAGGAGGGTGTTCGTCCTGTGGCTTCTGGGGGTGCCGCTGGTGTTGGAGGGGGTTCTCGCTCTGGGGGTGTTGGTTCTGGGGGTGCTGCTGTTGAGTGTTCTGCCGACGGTCGTTCTGCCTCTGCTGGTCCGAGAGTTCCGGCCCAGCCGTCGTCGCCGCCGCAGCAGCCGTCGCCGCCGGTTTCCGCTCTCCGCCTGCTCGGCCTTCCCTCCCCGGACCGCGCGCCGGTGTCTCCCCCACCGCCTCCTGACCTCCCTGTCTACGGTCCTGTGTTCCCGCCGCCAGACTCGTCTCCGGCCCGTCTTCCTCCTCGTTCCCCTCCTGTGTCTCCTCCGCTGTCCCCTGACCCTACCCCTCCGTCTCACGTTTGGGCTCGCCGTCCCTCCCGTGCTCGTCCCGTCTCTCCTGTCCTGCCCACCCACCCTATGTTGCTCCGTTCCCACTCGTCTCGTCCTCCCCTCCTCCCGTCCCCTCCTCCCTCGTCCCTTGCTGTTGCACCTCCTCCGTTCTCTGACTACCTCCGTGCTGCTCGTCCCCTTGTCCCTCGGGTCCTTGCCTCTCTTGTTACCGACCCTGCTGTTCCTGTCTCGCGCCTTGACGCGCTTGTCGCTGCTGTCGCTGACTTCGCTTCTACCCGCCGCCTTGACTACGCTACCGCTCTGGTCTCTGACCCTGCCCGTCCTCTGTCCGTCGGGGGTGCTCCTGCCCTTGGCAGTGACGTCCTAGAGGACAGGCAGTACGAGCTGGCTTTCCTTTCCGAGGCTGCTCCCCATCTCTGCTCCATGCTGTTAGTCCCTGAGGGTGACCCAGACGCCTTCGACATCCCGACCCCTCGCACCTACGCTGAGGCCACCTCGGGACCTTGGGCCTCTCAGTGGATAGCTGCCATGGAGCAGGAGATGGCATCTTGGAGATCCACCGGCACTTACGTCGACGCAGTTCCCCCGCCTGGGGTGAACGTAGTCGATGGTCGGTGGCTCTTCAAGGTGAAGCGCCCCTCTGGAGAGCCGCCTGTCTTCAAGGCACGCTACGTGGCCAGAGGTTTCAGTCAGCGCGAGGGGGTTGACTTCTTCCAGACCTTCGCCCCGACCCCGAAGATGACCACTCTTCGGGCGCTGCTACACGTAGCAGCACAGCGTGACTACGAGCTTCACTCCCTCGACTTCTCTACTGCCTTTCTTCAGGGCAGCCTACACGAGCAGGTCTACCTGCGCCGACCACAGGGCTTCACTGGTACCTTCCCTCCTGGGACCCAGTGGCTTCTCAGGCGCCCGGTCTACGGCCTGCGTCAGGCTCCCCGCGAGTGGCACGACACGCTACGTGCCACGTTAGCAGACCTGCAGTTCTTTCCGTCCTCTGCTGACCCTTCACTGTTTGTGCGTTCCGGCCAGACTCCGTTCTACATCCTTGTCTACGTAGACGACCTGGTCTTCGCTACTCCTGACAGGGACGCACTGGCCTCTGTGAAGGCTGAGCTGCTGAAGAGACACACCTGCACTGACCTTGGAGAGCTGCGTCGCTATCTTGGCCTGCAGATCTCTAGGGACAGAGCAGCACGCACCATCACTCTGACCCAGTCACACTTGGTGCGTCAGGTCCTTCAGAGGTTCGGTCTTCAGTTCTCCTCCGCACAGCCCACACCTCTACCCGTAGACCATGGGCTCTCTGCTCCCGTTCCTGAGGAGCCAGTAGAGCCCAGTGGCCCCTACGCAGAGCTGGTGGGTTGCCTCATGTACCTGATGACTTGCACTCGCCCAGATCTCGCATACCCTCTCAGCATCCTGGCTCGCTTTGTGGCTACAGGCAGACACCGACCTCAGCACTGGTCTGCCGCTAAGAGGGTTTTGCGTTATCTTGCTAGTACATCAGGCATGGGGTTAGTGCTAGGAGGACGCAGGCCAGTGGTCCTTACTGGGCACACAGACGCTTCTTGGGCAGACGACGCTAAGACGCTCAGGTCGTCGCAGGGCTACTGTTTCAGCCTTGGTTCGGGTGCTATCTCTTGGAGATCCACTCGCTCGTCGTCTGTGGCTCAGTCTAGCTGTGAGGCTGAGATCTACGCTGGTGCCATGGCGGCACAGGAGCTCCGCTGGCTGACCTTCTTGCTCACAGACTTAGGTGAGCGGCCTAGCTCTGCCCCGGTCCTGTACGCTGACAATAGGGCCATGATACTCCTGTGTCAGGAGCCTCGGCTTGAGGGCAGAGCGAAGCATATCCAGCTGCGGTACTTCCTCCTGCGCGAGCTACAGCAGCGCCGCCAGGCCCGCGTAGTTCACTTGGCCTCAGGTGCCAACACAGCTGATATCTTTACTAAGGCGCTTGCGCCTAAAGATCATCAGCGGCACTGTGTACAGCTTGGTCTTGTTCCTATAGCTGCTCCCCTGTTAGGATCCTGATTGTGTACTCTCTATTATATATGCTTGTCAGACTGGCCTTGTGGCCTTACCTCCAGTGGCTGGACTAGTAGTGCCACCCTGGCTTGCTTCAGTTTTGGTTGTATTCTTGCTGACTGGTCTCCAGACCCCTGCCTCAGTGGTTGGACTAATAGTGCCGCCCTGAGCTGTTTGCTTCTTGTTTAGTTTCACCCCTTGTCTAGCCTAGGGGGTGTGTCAACTTATACATATTATCTATGTAAAAGTTATAGGCTAGACTGAGGTATGCTTCTAGTGAGTACAACCAACTAGTATTTGTTGTAGGTTTCCACCTCTAGTAATCATTCGTTTCTACGTTAACTGCTTGTTCAGGACCTACCCCTATGCAGTCTAGGGGGTGTCAAATATGTATATCTCTAATGTTTGCATAGACTGTATAGGATCACCTCTTAGAGGGTACAACACTTAGGTTTATTCACTTGTACTCTCTCCCTTCTATACTATTCAGTTTCTGACTTATATATCAGTTACCTACCAAGCCTACAAATTATATAACACTATATATAATTTTAACATACTGCTCCTCACCAGTTACTACAGTACTCCCCACTGGTCCTCACTTGTCTCATTTATTTCCGTATCTACTGCCTCCCTCGACAGGAAACCAGCAGGAAGAATGTCTAATCACTACGTATCACTTCACATCACACATTTACTCAACACACACACACACATATCACACTGCCGCCAATTGGTGCCGTATTCATCACCCCAGTTCACAAAGAACCATGAGTCATGCAATGTGACCCACACCCATTGCCCACATGCACGACCCCTGTTCCATGACCCCCCTCCCATACTGTGTATCTGTGCCCTCTTCAACTGTGCCCTCTGTGTCTATGTACAGCAGCAAAACCCCTTAGTCTCTATCGTCACCTCCTCCCCCTCCCGCTCCCCCAGCCTCTCTCCTCGTGTCCCCCTAAGCTTCTCCTCCTCTTTCTTCCACCTGAGTTGATTCACCCCTCCGTTTGGACTTGCGTTTTTTCATCTTCTTCTCCTTCTTTTCCTGCTTTGTTTTCTTGCTCCTCTTGCTCTTCCTTGGTTTCTTCAACGCCCCTGACTGTGTTTCTACTCCCCCCGGCGCTACTCCACTCGCCCCTAGTCTCCCTGATACCAACCCTCCTCCAGCTTCCCCCCCAACCCCTTCTACTTCCGCTAATTCCTCCCCTCCACCTCCTCCACCTCCTCCACCTCCTCCGCCTCCTCCTCCTCCTGCAACTTCTCCCGTTGCTGAAGCCCCTTCACCTCCATACCTGCTGCCATTACTCCGCCTGCCCCCCCCCTCTTGGTCAAATAGCTCCTGTGCCCTCTGCTCTCCAGCAAATCTCTCCCCTCCTCCCTCGCTGGATAGCAACACCACCCCTTTCTCTTGCCTGTCTTGCACTTGTTGCTCAGGCACATCCACCGCCAGTGCAATCGCCCTTGCTTCCCTCGGCTCCGCCCTCTGCTCCACCAGCTGCTCCGCCGGCTGCTCCGCCCTAGCCGCACTTTCGCCCATGACTCCTGAATCGCGCACTAAAGTTGCATTCCGTTGCTCCTCCTTCTCCTGCCCTTCTCCTCCTTGCTTTCCGCCTCCTTCCTCCGTTTGCTCCCGCTGCTGCTCGGTTTGCTTAGCAGTAGCCTTTGCCTTCTTCCCACCGCCCTCTCCTCCTTCTGCCTCCGCATCTGCTTCCGCCTCTCCCCTTCTTTCTCCCCCTTCTCCTCCCCCACTCGTGCCCTCCGCCTCAGCCGTCCCCTCCTGTGTGTCAATGCTCCCCGCCGGGTCGTCCGCATTCCCTGCTGCGGCTGCCGGACTGGCTGCGCCCTTGGGGACGAACACCTGGCAAGGCGTGCACAGCCATGGGGGCAAGGGGAGGGAAGGAGAGAACGTGATAAAGGGGCCAGCACATGGTTGACTCGCTTTTCCTGCTGCCGCTGCCGCACTGGCTGCGCCCTTTGGGACGCACACCTGACAAGCCATGCGCAACCACGAAACGAAAGGGAAGGGGAGGGGAGGGGCGGGGAGGGAAGGGGAGGGGAGGGGAGGGGAGGGAATGGGAGGGAATGGGAGGGGAGGGGAGGGGAAGGGAAAGGGAGGCAATGGGAGGGGAGGGGAAGTGAGGGAACGGTTTGAGGCGTCTCAGAACAAGCAATGCCAGCCGTTGGCTAGTCTGTTTTCCCTGCTGCGGCTGCCACACTGGATGGGCCAATGGGGCCAATGTGCAGCCACGAGAGGAAGGCGAGGGGAGGGGAGGGGAGGGGAGGGGAGGGGGCGGAAGGGGAGCGAGGCGAGCAAGGGGGCAAGGGAAGCATGAAAGGGAGATCAATGAATGACTGACCTGTTGCGACTCGTAGACGACCGTGCATAGATAGACGTCTGTGCTGTCAACAGATTAACGTCAGCAAGGAGGACTAAGGGAAATCCATGCAGCAACAAACAAGGGAATAATCTCTGCTGCAAACTTTCGGCATACCACTTCAAGCTCTCTCTAACTTCCGCTTCTGATCCTCCTTACCTCTCTCGCTCTCTCTCTCCCTACCATTTAGCGCCACTCACCACTTTAGGTCCAACGGTCCGAACGTCGTAGAACTTCCCCGAGAGCCGTGCGATCTCCTCCACAGCTCTATCGTGGACCATTGGATCTCGCGTCACCAGCTCGTCGTACGCCGCATCAAACACGTCCCTCCAAAACTGCTTATATCGAGGACCATTTGGGGGGGCGAGGGGGGGGGGGGGGGGGGGGGAGGGGGGAGGGGGAGAGGCGGGGGTAAGGGGGGGGGGGGAGAGTAAGGGAACTATTTAAACCGGAATTGAGGTAAGGTGTGGCAGACACTAAGATAGATACTGTATGCAAGAGAGACTTGAGACGACAGTCAAGGGTCTGCTCAACCGAGGAACAGGAACCGCTGGAAACATGGCCCCCGATTGCGAGCAGCAGTTTATTCCGAGAACCTATCTCAACGATTGGAGGTAGATAGATGGAATAGTCGACTCTAGAACCGTAGCAGTGCATGCGTGGCGCCTGGATGACAGGGGGTCGCCTGTCTGAGTCGACAGGTGAGTCGTGACTGGGGTCATCCCGTACCAGTGCACGTTTGGCGCCTGGTCTGGCCTCGTCGGTTACAAGTGGACTGGTCACAAGGGGCTACCTGTGAAAGTACTTAGACTCGGGGGATACGTGTGAAAGTACTTAGACTCGGGGGATACCTATGAAAGTACTTAGACTCGGGGGATACCTGTGAAAATGCTCAGAGACGCGGGGGCTACCTATAGGATTACTTACCGATTCAAAAGTCCTACCTCCAAGTACTCTCACTCTCTTCCCCACTGGCTGCCTGGTGAGCTAATCACGAGCCACCGGAGGGAGCAATGCACGTGGCGACTGGACTGGACTTCCATGCCATTTAGGCGATTGGCGACTAGCTACTAGCTGAAAGTACTCTCACTCTTCCCCACTAGCTGCCTCGTGAGTTGATCAAGAGGCGCCCGAGGGAGCAATGCACGTGGCGGTAGGGGACCACCTAAACTCAAAGTACTCCCACCCTCTTCCCCACTAGCTGTACTTTGAGCAGATCACGAGCCACCGGAGGGAGCAGAGCGTACGACGAAGACTGGACTTACCTCGTCCATCTTACCTCGTCGATCTTACCTCGTCGATTAGGCGGTAGGGGGCTTCCTGGAAGTAGTCCCACTCGTCCTCCACCAGCTGCACGCGCTGGCGCAGCTCCTGCTGACGTGGCGCCCGCGGAACAAGAGACGGGGAGGGACAGAGAGACGAAGGAGACGCTTAGATGGGACATTAGAAGGGAGAGCAAGGAGGAATGGAGGGGGGGGGAGTTGAAGGCGCATTCTGTTTTGGAGAATTCGCAGTGACGAAGGAGACGCTTAGATGGTACATTCCAAGGAAGATCAAGGGGGAAGGGAGGGAGGGGAGTTGGAGGCGCATTCAAGAGGGCGCCATAGAAGCATGAGGGGGGGGCGGGAGAGCACAGAGATAGGAGGAGAGAGCAAGGGGGGAAGCGAGGGGGGAAAGGGGAGAGAGAGGAGAGAGAGGAGAGAGCGGAGAGAGGGGAACATTGTGAGACAGTGGCGAAAAGACCAGCTTCCCTTCCTCCCTCCCATCGCTCACCTTCCCCCTTCCCCCTCTTCCCCCCCCGCCCTCAAACACCCGCACGACGCGTCTCACTGTCTCACCTTTTCATCCATGTCGCCCCCCACGAGCATATCTTCCGTCGCCGACGCATGTAGCGCCGCCATCATCGCCGCCATTTCCGCGTCGTGCCCCCTCACCAGCGCGCGCGTCACCTTCCCGACCGCGCCGCCGCCGCCCGCGCTGACCCTCTCCCGTACCCTCCCCCAGCCGCCGCGGCCTCCGCCGCGTCCCCCGCCGCGTTTCGCGCCGCCGCCAATCTCGCCGCCGGCCCCGGGTCCCCCAAGTAACCAGCTTCCGCCGCCGAGCCCCACGCTATCGACGAACAGTATATTGGCGGGATCGTCTATTCCGCTTCCGCCGCCGCCGTACTCGCCGCTTGCGCCCGCGCCGTCTCCGCCGCCGCCGCGGGCGGCGGCTGCGGCGATTAAGTCGACGGCGGAGAGATCGATTGCGCGAGTTGACAGGAGGAAGGAGGCCGTAAGTAGCAGCGCAGAAAAAACCAGTATCAGCTGCAATTGCGACAAGCTGGACACGCCCCATAACGAAGCTGATAATAGCGAGGATTTCGTTTTAGACTCGCCGCCGCAGCCACAGCACGTACCACCGCCACCGCCTCCACCACCGCCGACTCCGCGCCCGCACTCTCCGCAGCCGTGACACACGGTTTTGAGCTTCAATGAGGGTATTAACTGCACGAGATGCGGCGCGTGCATCATCGCTGCCGGCGCCGGCAAGCGCGAGAGCTTTTGCGGGGGCGGCGGGGACGGCGTGAAAAGCGTGGCGGGCGGCGGAGGCTCCAAATCGAGCTCTTCCGCACAGGCTGCTCCGCCGGCTCCCCCCATCTTACGCTGGCGCCCCCCCCGCCAAGCCGCGGAAGCCGCAGGTGCGCTAAGGGGCGTCTGAACGAGCGCGGTCGGAAGCGTGAAAGGGGGCGTGTTCGGTGCGCGGGGAAGGGCGCGGGGGAGAGCGGCGCCGGATAAAGATCGCCTTTCCGCGGGCTTAGCAGCGGCGGAGGAGGCGGCGGAGGAGGAGGCGGCGGGAGCGGAGCTGCGCGGGAGTTGGCGGCGGGGAAGGGGTTGATTAGGTGAGCCGGAACAGGAAGGCAGGCATGCTCTGGCGGCAGTCTCGTCTGTATCGTTTGTTACACCTGTCTCGACTGTCTCGCCTGTCTCGACAGTCTCGGCAGTCTCGTCTGTCACGGCTGGATTGATACTCCCGTCGCTGGTTACAGTCCAGCTTACAGTCGTTCCGCTGGTCGCGGGAGCAGTTTCGCTGCGTCTGGAATCAGTGGGCGAAAACTGGTTACCAGCCCCGTTTTCGCCCTGGTCATCTGATGGCCCGTGCGACGGGTCGTGCGCGCTGGACTGAGCCTGGACCGGCCGACGCGCGTGCCTGTCGACTTTCGTGCCGTTCGACGGTTCGGTCCGTGGACGGTTCAGATCGGTTCGTGCTGTTTGGCGCTCCGAGGGCGAGGCCGAACGAACCACTGCCATCCACTGCCGAAACCGCTCTTTAATTGTAGTTTCCCTCCCACGACCCTTGCTAGTCCAAGGAAACTACTGGCTAGAGGATTCACTGAACCTTCCCTATTCGGACCTTCGCTATACAGTATACGCTGAGCCGTATCGACTTGTATTGTATTTATCAAGGAAGACGGGATGGGTGCGACCGCGACGATAGGAAGAAGACGAGAGATAAGAGCTATCACTGAAGCCTTTTAAAGTTGAACCGACAGGAGAATGGTGAATTGTCTTGGAACTATTTATTTAAGGCGCGAAAGGCTGCGACAGCGGACGGCACCAAACACTACGAACGGTTTACTCGGACCTAGACACATACTCCCGACATAGAAGCTGTGGACGAACCAAATTAGTGAGGCCTAGCTTTTCGTGGCAAGCACAGGATGTGCTCGAAGCTGCTGGCTGCAGTACTCAAAGGTGCACTGCACACGAAGGAAGGACGTGGAACATCTAGACCAGATAGGTGCACTCTTGACGGAGGCCTGGCTACCTACTGTTCCCTTTGGAAAACACGCGGCGGCTTTTCTTCCCTAGGTAATAAGACGATAGTGGCCATATAAGCGGGGAATCCGGAGGCAGCAGCAGGGCAGGTTGTCGTGCTTTAGGCTCGATGTTGGAGGCGAAGCAAGTTTTGGTCAAAACCTGAACAATAGGTTCGGAGGTGCTTCGGTTTTCTTTATGGGGAATCTCGCGGAGCCCTGGTTGTCCGGTTCGGAGTTACTGTTGAGGCTGGTTTGCTATGACAGGCCTTGAAAAACAGGTTAGACTCCGGTTTGTATCAATCATGCGAAAAATGCGGTTCGAGAATCTCAATGTGGCGGAAGGAACAGAACCAAGGGTGACTGTAGTCCGGCTGCTGACGAATCACGGGAGGTGGTGGCTGGGAAGACGCGACACATTGCCCAAGGTTTAGTGGTGCCGAACGCCGAGCCCAGGGCAGGGCGCCACACCACACAACACGCACTGACCTGGTGGGCCCGAAAACGTCGTCCCTTGGGCAGCGGTTGGACGAAGCGCGAGGTCGCACAAGCGTCCGGCACCTCCTTGGTGGTGCCGACGACAACTGCTCTTCGCGACTTGCGATCGAAAAGCGGACGCAAGGGGGGACGCTTGTCGAAGATACGTGGCCCGACGACGATATGCGAGTTTCGCATTGTCGTCACAAGGGAAGAACGACAAGTGGCTCTCCTCTGTGGGCGAATCACTGTTGAACACTGCCTGGGCCGAACCAGAACAATAGATTGGGTTCGTTCTGGGGCTTCCGAGTCTTGAGGTCTAACCAATCGCGTAGGCGGTCACGAGGCATTGCCAAACAGCTTCGGCAGTTAGGACGAAGCGCCTTGGGCACGTCAAGGGGCTGTGGAGGTTCCGTACATGCAGCTTCGCAACCTGCGTTTCTACACTTCTGGAGGGTACTCCATACTGAGTGTTGGTTGAGTCTCGGAAAGGAGATGGTTGAATCATTCTAGAGATAATTGCATACTTCTTGCCAAAATCCCTTGCCATACTCTACAATCGCCTTCTGTCGCCTTTGTTCTTTGCCCCTAAAAGCCTTTTCCACAATCAGCATTTCAAACGCCCCTGAGTGCTCGTCCATAGGTTTCACCCCCTTTCCTGCTTGGTCCCTAGAGCAGGCCTCTAAATTGGTTTTGGCCCACTCTTACGAATCAGAGTGCTTGAGACATTTTACCTTGCATGCTGAAATAAATCGTCTTATGTTGTAAGAGACTTAGTATAAAACTTCAAACAAGAACACTTGGCAAATCCTCAAGTGTTAGTCCAGGATCTTTGCTGGAATGGTAGACTAGTAAGACAGCGGAAGTCTTGTAAAATGTAAAGGTCAAGGTTGAATAACCTGAGTACGTGAACTTGTGAATAATCAAAGTTAATAATGAAAAAGACCTAATAGAGATTTATAGTTCTACGAAAAGTACCTATTCGCTAATGTACCTGTTCGTCACTATCGCGCTATGCGCCCTAGATTATAATGAAGGGGTGCGACTTTTCGCGTGACTGAAACGACTGTCCTATGACGAGCGCTATTTGCTGACGTCATCCTACGTGTCAAACATGTTTAGTTATCATGCTTGTATAGACTGTATAGGGTCATCTTCTAGAGAGTACAACAGTTAGGTATATGTTTGTGTACTCTCTCTCTCTATTCATCAATTTTACTGTTTAATATGGTATCACGCGTAGGTAGGATCCCCCCCCCCCCCCCCCCCTCTCACGCTTCCGCTCGCCCCCTAGCTGGGCCCCGTCGTGCTCCTAGCCCCGTCGCGACCCTCCCTCGCCCCGTCGCGACCCTCCCTAGCCCCGTCGCGCCCCTTCCTGGGCCCCGTTGCGCCCCTTTCTGGGCCCCGTAGCGCCCCTCCAGGGCCCCGTCGCGCTCCTCCCAGGCCTCGTAGCGCCCCTCCTGGGCCCCATTGCGCTCCTCCCAGGCCCCGTCGCGCCCCTTCCAGGGCTTCGTAGCGCCCCTCCAGGCCCCGTCGCGCCCCTTCCAGGGCCTGGTAGCGCCCCTCCAGGGCCCCGTCGCGCTCCTCCCAGGCCCCGTAGCGCCCCTCCTGGGCCCCATTGCGCTCCTCCCAGGCCCCGTCGCGCCCCTCCCTAGCCCAGTCGCGCTCCTCCCAGGCCTCGGTAGCGCCCCTCCTGGGCCCCATTGCGCTCCCCCCAGGCCCCGTCGCGCCCCTACCTGGGCTTGGTAGCGCCCCTCCAGGCCCCGTCGCGCCCCTCCCCAGCCCCGTCGCGCCCCTCCCAAGCCCCGTCGCGCCCCTCCCAGGCCCCCCCTCGCGCCCCTACCAGGGCCCGTAGCGCCCCTCCTGGGCTCGTAGCGCCCCTCCTGGGCCCGTAGCGCCCCTCCTGGGCCCGTAGCTACCCTCCTGGGCCCCGTCGAACCCCTCCTGGGCCCCGTCGCCCCTGCTCGGCCCCGTCGCCCCTGCTCGGCCCCGTCGCCCCTGCTCGGCCCCGTCGCGGCCTCTCGGCCACGTGGCGCCCGCCCGGCCCCTGTCGCGGCTGCCCGGCCCCTGTCGCCCTGCCCGGCCCTGCTCGCCCGCCCGGCCCCGTCGCCCCTGCCCGGCCCTGCTGTGTCCTGCCCGGGCCCCGTCCCTGCCACCCGACCTTGTCGCTGCCGCCCGGCCCCGTCGCAGCCGCCCGGCCCCGTCGCCCCTGCCCGGCCCTGCTGTGTCCTGCCCGGCCCCGTCCCTGCCGCCCGGCCCCGTCGCAGCCGCCCGGCCACGTCGCAGCCGCCCGGCCTTGTCGCTGCCGCCCGGCCCCGTCGCCGCCGCCCGGCCCCGTCGCAGCCGCCCGGCCCCGTCGCCGCCGCCCGGCCTTGTCGTGCCTGCCCGGCCCCGACGCACCTGCCCCGGCCCTCCATACTTCCTGGTACTGTCCCCCGTTCCCCGCACCACTTTGCACCCTCCTGCACTTTCCTGCCCCGCCTTGCATCGCACTGCACCTCACTGGATCGCACTGACCGCACTGCACCGCACTGGACCGCACTGCACCGCACTGCATCGCACTGCACCGCACTGGACCGCACTGCACCGCACTGCATCGCACTGCACCGCACTGCACTGTCCTCCACTGCCCCTCATGGCTGCTGAGCTTCGTTTTGATGTTGAGGGTCAGCCTCTGGAGTTCGAGGCGTGGTTGGCTGACCTTCGCCGCCACCTCACTGGCCAGCGGCAGGACGGCCACCCGCTTTATGCACACCTAGACGGTATGCTCCCCTGCCCTGACCCCCCTGCTGTGCTGCCCGCTGATCCCACGCCCGCTGAGCGCGAGTCCACTGCCGCTGCTGCCCTTGCCCGCTCTGTCTGGCTTTCCCGCGATGCCCTTGCTCAGCTCGCCATTAGCAATGCCCTCCCCCCCACTGAGCGCCCTCGCTTTAGAACCATTCCTACCGCCCAGGCCTACCTCGATGCTGTCATCAAGCGCTATTCTACCCCTCCTGCTGCCTCAGTGGGTCGCCTGATCCTTCCCCTGCTCTTTCCTGACCTGGCGTCTTTCCCCACTGTCTCTGACCTCGCTGCCCACCTGCGCTCGATAGATGAGGCCTGGCGCGCTGCCTGCACTGATGCTCAGCTTAGAGTCCACCAGCCTCCTATGACCTCTACCCTCTACCTCCTTGCCACCCGCCTACCTGACCGCCTGGCCGCCGCCCGCGACCAGTTCCTTAGCATCCACCCTGCTGCTCTCACCCTCACCGACTTTGTTGACACCCTGACTGCCATAGAGACTCGTCACCGCTCCATAGCCCTGGCGAGCGGTACAGTACCGGTCCCTATCTTTCAGGGTTGTGCCCCCGCTCAGTGTACCTTCTCCGACGGCTCTGTTGCTGTGGCTGAGACTGCTGCTGCAGTGCAGTCCCGCTCGGCGAAGGGCCGCCGCCCCAAGGTTGGGAGCGGCGGAGGCGGCGGGGGTGCGGGTGGGGGTAGTGGTGGAGGCGGGTCGTCCGGTGCCAGTGCGGACGTGGGGACCCTGCCCGGTCCAGCTGCCCCGCTGCCTCCACAGTTGCAGCAGCCGCAGCAGCAGCAGTCGCCGCAGCCGCAGCCTTCGCAGCAGCCGCAGCAGCCGCCGCAGACGAGGCAGGCGAGTACTCTCCCACCTGGGTGGCCTGGAGCTGGTGGTGGTCGTGCGCGTGGTGGTGCACCGGGTGGTGGTTCTGGAGGCGGGCCCTGTCAGTACCAGATCCAGACCGGTCCTCGCCGCGGCTTCGTTTGCGGTAAGATCGGTCATTCTACTCCTCGCTGTTTTCGTCGCCTGGACGACCTGTTCCGCCAGCGCTTTGGCCCGGCGCCCGACCTCCCGGACTGGCACAGCTTGCTTAGGCGTAGCATTAGGATTTTTGACTTGGACATGGATGCCATTGTAGCGGCCTTGCATGTGATGTATGCTGATGACTCTAGTGTGCTTCCCTCTTATTACCCCGTGTTGCCTAGTGTAGCGGTGCCTAGCGTAGACTCCCCTGCTGCGTCAGGCGTAGGATCTCCTGCTTTGCTTAGCCTTGGTGCTTCCACCGCTTCACTGCTGCCTCGCGCGACTGCTGCGCTTTCCTTCACCTTGGACTCTGGCGCCTCCCGGTGTTTCTTCCGCGACTCCACGACGCTGACGCCGCTGCCTGTTCCCGCTGCAGTTACTCTTGCTGACCCCTCCGGTGGTCCCGTCGTTGCCCGCAGTTCCACCTCCCTTCCCTGTCCGGCGGTTCCTTCGGGCACTCTCACAGGTCTGCATATCCCCTCGTTCTCCAGGAACCTAGTTGGTGTCGGCTGCCTCCAGGACCTTGGCGTCACCACTACGTTCCCTGGTCACGAGCGGTATGCTGTCTGTACCGAGGCCGCCACTGGTGCCCCCCTTACCACTTTCCCCCGGGACCCGGTGTCCGGCCTGTTCACTCTGGACACCGTGACCCCCCCGGCTGGAGCGCTCCCTCAGGTGGCTGCGTCTACCCAGGTTGCTGCTGCCTGCTCCTGTCGGTCCCTCACTCACCCGACTCTCCTTTGGCACCACCG